GATGAAAATCCTGTAATCGTTTCTTTTTTAAATTAACATATTTGTGTTCTTTATAGTGTATATGTGTTTTTAGGTAATATGATATATGTGTGTTGACTGAGGATCACTTGTAGGAGCTGGGACACTCTTTCCCTTGTATAGATCTCAGGGAAGCAAACACAAGATATTAAGCTTGGTGGCAGGTATCCTCACCTGCTGAGCCATGTTGCCCCCTCAAGCCCTTGGTCATCTCTTCTGATTTTACTTTTTACAAATCACTAATAATCATTGTCAACATCTCTTAACTGTTAGGAAAGTCATCTTTCTATCATTGTAATACAGTGTGAGACAATCAATTCATAGCAAGAAAAGTTTGGCTTCATATTTTTTTTTTAATTTAAGACTATGATGAGTTCTGCTTTTTTTACCTGAGCTAGGTGCACATCACCTTGGGAGTCTGTCAGAGCTAATGTTCACTCAGTGGCTAGGAAGTGAAGAGGCTAATGCCCATGATCTCTTCTGAATATATAATCTCTATGACTCAAAGTTTCCATGGCCTGTAAGCAACCTAGGCCCAAGGAGAAGAATGTATCCATATAGATCTGTGAGAATATTTAAGTTCCCAATCATATTAAAAGCACCTGTTTATATGCTTTGATACTAGGTACAAGCATTATATCTTTTAAAAAGTGTCTTAGTTCTTATTTGTTTTCCTGCATGTGAGAGGATTTCTAGATTAAGCACTTTCTCATGACATTGAATGACAAAATAACCTTGCAAACAGAATACCTAACTGGGTGATAATTTTTGTTTAACAACAATAATAGAATTGCTGGTGTTTGAAGTACAAAGTTCATCACCAGTTATGTTCTAACATAATTTGTATTATGGCCTTTGTTTCTGTTTTAATAAGAAATGCATTGTCACATATATCATTAGTCTTTATTTTGTCACTATTTTGAGAGAGGTGATCTTCCCCAGAGAACAACACACTAATTGGTTCTTTAGTGCCACACAGTGAGCACTGAGAACAAACATACAGATAACAGTATATTTTAGTTGTTTTCAGATGAAACTGAAAATTGTCCTCTTAAGATCTGTAAAAATTGTGTTGGAATTTGGATGGGGATTGCCTTGCATCAGTACATTGTTTTATATAGCACGGCTATTTTTACTCTATTAATCCTACTGATAAATGAGCATTGGAAATAGTTCCATCTTCTGATATCTTCTTCAATTTCTTTTTTTTCAAAGTCTTAGAGCTTTTGTCATAAACCTTTCATTGTTTGCTTAGAGTCACATATAGATTTTTTTTTTATTTGAGGCTATTGTGAAAGATGTTGTCCCATGATTTTTGCTCAGTCCATTTGTCATCTATGTAAGAAGAATACTTGTTTTATGAAATAATTTTATATCCAGTGACTTTGCTGAGTGTGTATCAGCAATAAGAGTTCCTGGATGGGATGTTTTAGGGTCACCTACATATACAATCATGTCATCTACAAATAAAGATACTTTGATTTCTTCCTTCACACTTTGCATACTTTTGATCTCCTTCAGTTCTCTTATTGCTCTAGTTAAGACTTCAAATACTATATTAAATAGTTATGGAGCAAGTGGACAGCCTTGTCCTGTTCATGATTTTAATGGAATTTTTTCAGTCAATTTAAATTGATACTGGTTATGGGACTGTTGCTGTAAGCTGCCTTATTATGTTGGGGTATGTCACTTGTATCCCTAATGTTATTCCAGAAATTTTATCATGAAAGGATGTTGGATTCCACCAAGAGATTTTCTATATCTGATGAAATGGTAAAATGTTCTTTGTCTTTCATTTCATTTTCATGGTTGATTACATTTATCAATTAATTTAGGTTGAACCATAACTGCATTTCCTGATTGAAATCTACTACATCATAGTGAAAGATATTTTCAATATGTTCTTGAATTTTTTTACAGACATAAAATGTCTTCCATAACTTGCTTCTTAATTATTTTTTTTTGGAATATCCTTTCCCATCTTTTTTCTCTCAGGTAATATCTATCCTTGATGTTGAGGTATGTTTCTTTGATGCAACAGAGGGAAGGATCCTCTTTTCCCATCCATTCTGTTAGTCTGTGTTTTTTAATTGAAGAATTGAGATCAGTGTTCTGAGAGATATCAATGAGCATTTTTATTGACTTCTGTTTTTATTCTTATGTCTCTCTCTCTCTCTCTCTCTCTCTCTCTCTCTCTCTCTCTCTCTCTCTAGGTGTGTGTGTGTGTGTGTGTGTGTGTGTGTGTGTGTGTGTGTGTGTGTTTTACCTGTTTTGATTGGATGATTAGGAATTATATATTCCTTATATTTTCTTGGATGTGGTTAACATGTGTAGGATCATATATACTTTCTAGTATAGTATGTATGGCTGGATTAGTAGACTAATATTTCTTGAATTTGGTTTTATCAAAGAGTGTCTTATTTTTCTATTTATGGGGATTGAAAGTTTTGCTGCGTATAGTAAGTCTGAGCTTGCATCTTGCAATCTCTTAGAGTCTCCAGGATATCTGTTCAGCCCCTTCTGCTTTATGTTTTCACTGAAAGTCAAATGTAATTCTAATAGGTCTGCTTTTATATGTTATTTGGTCATTTCCCCTTGAAGCTTTTAATATTCTTTCTTTGTTCTGTACTATTAGTGTTCTGATTATTATGTACCAAAGGACTTTCTCTTCTGGTCGAGTGTATTTGGTGTTCTATCCACTTTTTAAACCTTTATAGGCATCTCCTTCTTTAAGTTAGAGATATTTTTATTAATTTTTAATGTTTTCTGTGCCTTGGGCCTGGGTTTCTTCTCCTACCTCTATTCCTATTATTCTCTGAATTTGTCTTTTTATAGTATCCTAGATTTCTGGTTGTTTTGTGGCAGGATGTTTTTAGATTTAACATCATTTCTGATGTAGCCATTTCTTCCAGTATATCTCCACTGCCTGAGAGTCAGTCTTCCATCTTTTTCACTCTGTAGTGTGGCTTGCCTTTGAGCTCCATGCTTGTGTTCCTAAATTTTTCATTTCCAGATTTTTCACAGTTTGGGTTTTCTTTATTCAATCTTGAGCTGTTTTATTCATTTACTCCACTGGTTTTGTTTTCATGTATTTCTCTTTAAGGGATTCATTCATTTTCTCCCAAGGATGTCCATCATATTCATAAAGGCTATTTTAAGAACTTTGTCTTGTACTTCTACTATATTTCAGTTGTCAGGGCCTATAATATGGTAGGTTGCTGGACTCTTCATGGAACATGTTATCCTGGCTGTTACCAAGTGTGTTTATATTTGATCATCTAAGAATTTGGGTTTGGGAAGATTATAATTCTGGGTGCTAGTATCTGGTCTCGTCTTTGTTGGGTGGGTGTTTTATTTCTTGGTTTCTATTGTGCTTCTCATCCTTAGTAGTGTGTGGTAGCGGTATATTTTCTGGTAAGGAATTTTTCTGGGATCTTTCCAGGTGTGACTACTAGGAGTCCTGGGTAAAATAACTTTCTAGGTATTGAGGGCTGACATTTAGGAATTAAGATAGGATGAGGGTAGTCAAGGGGTCAACAGGTGGGAGGAAAGCAGTGTGCTTCTCCAAGAACTTCTTATTCCCTTAAGAATTTGGAGCACAGATTTAGGAGAGGGGTGTTGGATAGGGTGATTGAATCTGGATAAGCAATGAAGATTGAAGATGTGGAGCCCTCCTACCTTCTTGACTGGCTTATGTGTTTTTCTGTGACGTTTTTGTAGTGGGATCACAGGGAATGACTGTTGGAGTTGGAGTGGGATAGTAGTGTAAGTGGGGAGGATGGTTGGTAAAAAAAGATCAGCCTGACCCAGTGGATATGGTGACGGAAAGGAGAGGGAGCACAGGTGGTCTTCTATAGAGTTAGGGATGATACTTGAGGATTGTATTTATAGGAAGAAGAGATTGAATAATGGCAGCTATTACCTGCTTCCCTAATGGGAGTGGCCTCTGGGTTCAAAGGGAATACCTGCTGGAGTTGGTGACTGTGATAAAATAATGAGTGGTGATAAAATAATTCTGGGGGAATATCTGAGTGTAAATGGGGGCTCAGAGTGGGGGCTGTACCAGGTCATCTGCTATGAAGCAGTGCATGAAAATTTTGAGAAAGATGAATATCTGCAGTTAGGTTCCTGCTTCCCTGGCCAAACTCCACTTTATTTTAATTTAATACAATGATATCAATGGTGAATAGTGTGTTAAAGGTTCGTTGACATCAGCTAGAATCACCATGCTTTATTGTGGTTTAAACATATCTATCTATTATCTCTATCTATCTATCTATCTATCTATCTATCTATCTCACTATCATCTGTCTAATGTATCATTCATCATATATCTATCTAGATATGTGTAGGTATATGCACACTGAAACATGTATTTTAGAGTAGCAAAGCAGTTTGCTATATTGATTACTTGGAATAAATGGAAAGAACATTTGTGTGCATATCAAGTTCTAAATTCTGCTGTTGAATTGTTAAGCCCTGATGTTTCACTAGAGTTTTCAAGTATGAATCACATAGGAGTCTTGACATTTGAAAATGTATTATACCATTGTGAAACTCCTTTTAAGTTATTTCAAAATGATTTGACAACTGATTAACAATCTTCCTTGTTTTTGTAAATATGTAATTATAAAAATGTGCTGAAACACGGAGTTTTAATAAACTTCGTAGATAATTTAATCTTGGCATGTTTTCAAAAGGCATTTTGTCTATTTATGCCTCAACTTCATCTGTCTCAGTTAAAATATGTTACAAGTTGGACAAAAAACTTTATTTTTGAGTTATTTCTTTATGTTGTTTTATTATTACATATTAATACTTCATTGGATTATATACTATGTTTACACTTGGAGCATTACATATAGAGTTTCTTCGTTTAACACACAATTTAAATGCTAATAATACACAACAGAATTTTATTTAAGACATGAACTTACTATGTTCACTATTGGTATTGTACCTGTGTCTGTCTTACAGCTGTTATTTCAAGAAACCAAGAAGGTCCAGGAGAAATGGGAAAGGCTGTGCTTATTCCAAAAGATGACCAAGAGAAAATGAAAGAGTTGTTTAAAATCAATCAGTTTAATCTCATGGCCAGTGACTTGATTGCCCTTAACCGAAGTCTGCCGGATGTGAGATTAGAAGGGTAAGTTTGCATGTGATGTGAAATCTTATGTGTCATTAAGCTCTATGTTTTATAATTTCTTTTCTGACTATATATACATTTATATACATTTTATACCTACCTGGTTCTGGTTGGTTATGAAAAGAATAACTGACTTCAGCTGAGAAATACAAAATATTTTCTTTTCAGATCAAGACAAATACATTACTTGCAAAGGCACTAAAGCTTCCAAAGACCAATAAGTTTTTATCCATAAGGTCATCTTTCCTTTACTCTATCTTCCTGAATACCAGACATGATATTTCATAATTTATTTGCACATAAACATCTTAGAATACACCATAAACTTCATTTGGAAAAAAATGTATAAGGCACAAAATTAGCCAGTTTATTGCATACTTCTTTGACTCTTTAAAATTATTTACTACTGAACATGGGTATAGCCATTGGTGAAGCACTTGGGTAGTACTATCAAGGGCCTATATTTAATTCCCCATACCATGTGAAATATTTATTATGGGTATTAGCAATTTATACTACTAATTTTAATTGATTATTCAGTTATCAACAATAGAACATCTATTCAATTAGAAGTAATAGTTCTTGAAAAATTATGTTAAAACATTCAACATTTATGTGATTGACTGTAAGATGATCTAAATAGCTAAACATATTTTAAATATATGGAACTAAATATGAATATTTAGTGGCAGCTTTATCACCTTATTAAAATACTGTCAGCAATCACAAAAGATATGTTCTGAGATTCTAAAAAGTTGTAAAGTTTTCAAATACATTTTAGATCACACTTCTATGTAAATAGACAGTTAATATGAGCTGCACAATGATATTCTTTATGTAAAAACATTTTTAGTACAAATAATGTGTGTCACTAATAATAGGCTATACTGTGGTAATAGCAGTATATTTACTAGTTGTGTATTCTTTTTTTCTTTTCTGATTGTGTTAAATGAAACTTAAACCTTGTTAAGATTCTAGGGTTGGTGATTAGCCAGGATTCATTTGGTGAGTATATGAATGGCTCCTTATATCATTATATTGTTCTGAAATGCACCTTTCAAGAAAAACAATAACCTTGGCATGTTATCATAACCTATAAATAGGGAGGACAAATAAAGAGGATCTCACACTTGAAAAAATCCTGGGTCTCCTTGGGACCAAACTAGGTCCTTTACATGTGGGAGACAGTTGTGTAGCTTCTTCTATCTGAGGGGACCCCGGCAGTAAAACCAGAATCTATCCCTGATGCATGAGCTAGCTTGTCGGAGCCCATTCTCTATGGTGAGACACCATGCTCAACCTCAATCCAGGGGGGTGGCCTTGGTGCTGCCTTAACTTGATATATCAGGCTCTGTTGACTCCCCTGCATGGGAAGCCTTACCCTTTAGGCGGAGTGGGTGGGGGATGGGCTGAGTAGGCAAGTGGGGGAAAGAGAAAGGGTGTGAGGGAGAATTGAGTTTGAAACGCAAAATGAAATTAAAATAAATAATTTTTTAGTAAAAGAAAAAGAAAATAAAAAGCCTGGCTCTACCTAGAAATTTTTAGGCACACCTGGATACCATAAAGATAGAGTGTTTACAAAACACTGTCAAGCAGGGAGAAAAATCAAAAATAGTCCTGTGGTTTGTACACTTTTGTTCCTCAACAAATAGATATTGGTTAGTAAATGTATGTATAATTTCTAACCAGATTATATTTATTTTATGTGCTTGGATTTCTTCATATGTATTTAGACATTTGCATCTAAAAGATATAAGTAAATTAATTAATAATTACCCACAGGGATGTTAAATGATTAATTGTGTGCATGTACAACTTTTATAGACTTAAATAATTTGCTGAAATATGTTCACTTATTTTTTGTGAAGAACTTGAGTTACTACTTAGAAATGAAGATCTTAGTAAATTTCTTCACATGTCTATTCTACTATAATAAAATGTTTAGAACACATCATCAACATTTTCGAAAAATACCAACAATGTTACTTTGAATCTCAATCTAAACTATATTGAGAGGGGAAACTGTGGCTAGGATGTAAAATAAATAAATAAACAAAAATATGTTTCATTTAAAGAGGCAAGATGGGTACCTGGGAAGAAATGACATCTGAGACAGATATGATATCCAAACAGATGTGATCACATGTATATACACATGAGCAAAGTGTATGCACACACACAAGAGCAAACTTAACAAGCATCACACACATACACTTTAGAAGTTGTGTTTATATTTCAAAAAAAATATTCTGTTTGCAATGAAAAAGGGCTAAGTAGTCATTATTCAGTTTGAGGCAAACTTGATGAAACATAACACATTGGAGCTAAATTCTCATCCAAGGGACATTTAAATATTTATGTTGAAGTAACTAATATATTGAATAAATGACCCATACTTTTATGTTGTACTAAATTATGTTGAGATAAAATTATTGTTATCACTAAAACCACAGTATATATGTATTTTCAATGTAATTAAATGCTGTCTTTAGGAAATCTATGAGATTTATCTCATCATGTAGATAAACATATAAATAAAATTCCCAACGGTTGCATCCAGTCTGTTCTTGTTCATTTAAGTATACTGCAAGAGAGAGAGAGAGAGAGAGAGAGAGAGAGAAGGCTTTTACAATTCTGACTTAGAATGTTGAAAATGGTTAAACTGGCATGAATAAATACTATTCATGGTTTATAAGTTTAGTAATTAAAGGCTTTTGTATCAAGAGAATAAATGAATAGATGTCATTTTATTCATTTTTAAATCTATTCTTTCTGTTACTATTTGGAGAAATGGGGTGGGAAAAGAAACTTCTTACGTGGCACTAATAGATTATGTGGATCACCTGTTCCTTGGAATTACAAAAATGGCAGAAAAAAAGAGTAGAGATTATAGAGGGGAAGCCTTGTCAATAAATGTAGTTTATTGCATAAACTAGAGCAAGTTGCATATACCTGTAAGCACATACATGCTATGTCTTCTTTTTAATAATCTGATGTTTGACTGAGTCATGGTAACTCATGCCTTTAATCACAACTCTGCAGCGGCTAAAAAAAAAACAAACAA